TGTTCTGTCGCTTGAAGAGTGGGGTCAGCTGACTGCAGCAGCAGCGCCAAATGCTGCTGCTGCTGCACCTGTGGCTGCAGCACCTGCTGCTGTTCTGTCACTTGAAGAGTGGGGTCAGCTGACCGCTACAGGAGATCCTGCTGCTGCTGCTGCACCTGCTGCTGCACCTGCTGCTGCACCTGCTGCTGCAGCACCTATTACTGTTCTGTCGCTTGAAAGTTGGAGTCAGCTTACAGCAGCAGCACCAAATGCTGCTGCTGCACCTGCTGCTGCACCTGCTGCTCTGCCTGCTAGTATTGGGTCTGTACAAGTTTTGGATCAGCAGCAGCAGCAGCAGCAGCAGCAACAACAGCAGCAGGTTCTGCTGCTAACAGAAACAGCAGATCTTTCTGCTGCTCATTCTGCTGCAGCGCCTACTATGCTGTCTATTCAAGGTTTGGGAGGTCATCAGGAGGTGCTGACGCTGACAGCAGCAGCAGATCCTGCTGCTGTAGCTGCTGCATCTGCAACGCCTATTACCCTATCGGTTCAGGGTCTGGATCAGCAGCAGCAGCAGCAGCAGCAGCAGCAGTTTCTGCTGGTACCAGCAGCGGCAGATTCTGCTTCTACTGTAACTGCTGCTGCACTGCCTTCTGTTATTTCGATTCAAGATTTTACTCGGCAGCTGCAGCTGCAGCAGCAGCAGCAGCAGCAGCAGCAGCAGCAGCTTGTGGTTTTGACCACAGCAGCAGATCCTGCTGTTGCTGGGCCTGCTGCTGCAGCACCGTCTGTTGTGCCGATTCAAAGTCTTGGTCAGCTGACAGCAGCAGCAACTCCTGTTGCTGCTGCTGCTGCTGCTGCTGCACCTGGTGTACCGGTTGCCTTTCCGAAGCAACCCGTTGTGTACTTAGGAACAGCAGACCTCTCTGCTGCAACTGCTGCTGCTCCTACTGCTGCTGCTGCTCCTGCTGCTGCTGCTGCTGCAGAATATACAGTGTCTACAGGATCTCAGGGGTTGGGCGCCTTTCCGGTGTTGGTGCAGCAAGGAGAGACTAGCGCTGCTGCAGCAGGCGTATTAGGGGGAGAGCTCTCAGCAGCAACAGCAGCAGCAGCAGCAGCAGCAACAACAACAACTCCAGCAGGAGAAGCAGCAGCAGCAGCAGGTGTACAAGGAGATGCTTTACCTCTGGGAAGCTTTCACGTGTGGCTTCCTGTCGAGGAGCAGCAGCTGCAGTTGCGAGTAGAGGAGACGAGAATTACTTTTGAACCAACAACTACAGCAGCAGCAGCAGCAGCAGCAGCAGCAGCAGCAGCAAGCAGCAGCAGCGTAGTGGAAGAGCTGCCGCAGCTGCCGATAGACGATGTAGAGGCCTTCTTTCAGAGTATTGAAGGGCCTGCAGCAAAGGTACCCCGTATGTCTCTGAGTGAAGCAGAACCGCATGCAGCAGCAGCAGCAGCAGCAGCAGCAGCATCGGCAGCAGCAGCACCATCAGCACAAGCATCACCAGCACCAGTAGCTGCAGCAGGACAAACACCAGAAGCAGCAGCAGCAGCAGCAGCAGCAGCAGCAGCAGCAGCATCAAGGACTGCAGCGGGGAGTGTAGCTAGCAGCAGCCAAACAAGTGCTTCACTTATGCAGATGTTTGCGATCGAAGAGCAGCTAGAGACACACGAGAAAGTAAAACAGTGGTTAGCTACAACAGGCCTAGGTGCTTTTCGTTTAGAGTCACGGAGCAGCACTTCCGGTAAACAGCAGCAGCAGCAGCAGCACCAGCAGCAACAGCAGCAGCAGCAGCAGCAGCAGCAGCAACAGCAACAGCAGCAGCAGCAGCAGCAGCAGCAGCAGCAACAGGAACAGGAACAGCAGCAGCAGCAACAGCAGCAGCAGAAAGATGATAGTGATGATGATGTGCTTGTTGACGATGGAGAAGAAGCAAAAACAGAACAAGTGAGGAGGCCTCTGCGACAGCAGCAGCAGCAGAAGCTGCTGCTGCTGCTGCTGCTGCTGCTGCTGATCCTACCCTAGCTGTTCCTTTTGTTTTCGGTATTTCCGCAGAATGTGTAGCACCAGCAGCAGCAGCAGCAGTAGCAGCAGCAGCAACAGCAACAACTGTTGCTGCTGCTGCAGCTCTTCCTGGTGCTTGTGATTTTCAGTGTTTCTGCAGCATGTGAGGCAGCAGCAGCAGCATCAGCATCAGCTGCTGCTGCTGCTGCTGTTGTGTGATATTGTAAGAAATGAAGATGCTCGTTTGTGTATAGACTATATACAAATATATATATATATGTGTATGTGTGTGTGTGTGTGTGTGTGTTGCTGCAGCAGCAAGCGCTGTCTCAGCTTCATTGTGCTGCTGCTAGCCTGGGCAGCAGTTCGAGGTTAGTATTTACACCTGCGGTGTCTGAGTGCGGTGCTTTATGTAAATATTATGAAGGTCATCCTTTCTATCGCATCCCTATATGCAAAGAAGAAGAGATAATAGCAGCAGGGCCTCTTGATGTGTCGATGTTTCTAGGGTATGTTGAAGGCATTCCGGGGGGTATAGTAACCCGATTAGAACCTTTAAGAGTTATACTTCTTAAGAAAGAGCTGCATGCACCAGACATTGAAAAGCTAGTGTTGCAGGGGCAGCAGCTAACAAGCTATGCTAGTAGATATTTAAAGCAAAGTTTTACAGTACCTTTCATAGGAAGAGCTATAGATCCTTTATCAAGAAGATTCTTAACAGCAGATTATCTGTGGTGTATAGGCAGGTTATTAGGACATCATATTCAAGCTGAAAGCTGGTGGGCTTATTTATTTACAGGTTTAGCGAACATCCCTTCAATATCAGCAGAGATTTATCGTTATCGCAACCAGCCGTCAAACCCTTTTGTTGAGAGGCTACAAGCTGCCTTAAGTTTATATAAAAGAGGCATCAGACCCCCTGCTAAAGAGGTTGTTGAGATCAAACAAAAGATATTCACCCTCCCTTGTGCTAATAAAGAATATAGAAGACCCTCTTGGAACCCCTGGAGAGCAGATGACTGGGCGTACACTCGGCAATACTCAGCCTCTCCTTCTTAGCGAGCATTCTCTTAATAAATATATATATATATATATATATATATATATATATATTATATATAGATGTATATAGATATATATAGATATATATAGATATATATAGATATATAGAGGTATATATGTATAGATGTATAGATGCATATATGTGTATGTGTGAATAGATGTATATATATTAAGTATGTAGATATATATATATATAGGTGTATATAGATATATATATATATATATGTATATATATGTAGTTAAAAGCATATATATATATATATATACAAAGATAGAAATATATAATATATATATATATAAATGCAACGTCTTTGTCTTGTTCAAGTGGGGGACGAAGAAAGGCAATAAAGCCGCAGTCTTCAAGAAGAAGAATAAAAAATTATACAAAACTTTGACTTTTCTCAGGAAGAGGGATGCTAACCAACTGCAGCAGCAGCAGTAATAATAGCAGCAGCAACAGCAGCAACAGCAGCAACAGCAGCAATAGCAGCAGCAGCAGCAGCAGCAGCAGCAGCAACAGCAGCAGCAGCAGCAATAGCAGCAGCAGCAACAGCAGCAGCAGCAGCAATAGCAGCAGCAATAGCAGCAATAGCAGCGGCAGCAGCAGCAGCAGCAGCAGCAGCAACAGCAGCAGCAGGTATGTGTCTTAACGAAAGGTTTGTAGCAGCAGAAAGGAGGTTTGCATGCAGTGCAAATAAATGAAGAAGAAGAAGTTTAAAAATATTATTTTCTTACACAACACAAAACATATTTAATGCTCCCCTGGCCGTTTATGCGCATAAAATATATATATATATATATATGTTTATATGATATATATATATATGTTTATATGATATATATATATATATATATGTTTATATGATATATATATATATATGTACGTATTATCTACATATATATATATACGTGCATATATATATATATGCATATATACCACTATATGTATATACGTGCATGATTATATATATATATATATATGTTTATATATATATATATATATATATATATATATATATATATATATATATATATATATATATA